TGGAGTTCTGTTGTGTAACTCTGCTGATAAAACAGTTTTGTTGGAAGAAGAAGTTTGTGAAGATGGTGGTTGATTTTTTTCTGTCCTTCATTTAGTATCTGGATTATTTCTGAAAATAATTTTTCAATATTACTTGAAGCAATAATAAATCCTAAAGATAGAAGTGTTGTTCTTGAAGGATTTATAACAAAAGAAAATAGAGTTATTGAAGGTAACGTTCCAATAGAGTTATTTGTGTCTATATCTTTACGAGTTTATTTTAATCACGTGCTTTTTAATATAGTCATCAAAAATCCAAACGTACGTACAGAAAAGATTGCTGAACCATTGGAAAAGCAAGAATATAGGATTCCCGCACCTAACCCTGGCCTTGACAAACTCGGTAGATCCGATGTTTAATACTTTTGTGATTTTCTGCGTAGTATTCGTAAAAAAATTCCTTAATTTTTGTGTAATAATTAATCTAGTGATGGTTGAATCACAGAATGTATCTCAAAAGTCTTCCTACAAAACGACGCCTGATAGAATGGGTGAGCTTGAAGCGTTAATAAACGAGATTAAAATTGTGTTAAGTTTCTAACGTTTTGTTTATGATTCTTTTTAGCTCTCATAGAACTACTAAAGAGAGAAATTGCAAAGAAGTCTGCTCAGGTACAAAAAAAAGAAGTTATGAATACTATAGGTAAGTCTCTAGTTTATCAAGTTATGTAAGGGAAAACTTTGGACAATTCAAATTCTAGTACATTCTTTGTCGCTGACTCTAAACAAATTATATTCATTGTCCTTTCAAAGCTTCGGAAGCCTTAAGGAAGATGTCTTAAAAACCGTTAAATAAACGTGATATGGTAAGTTTATCCTTTATTATTGTTTTGGTCATTGTTACGTAAAGATTTATGCAAATTTACAGTTATCATTCTTTATGCAGTAACAGTTAATGATCAATGGTCACCAAATTCGTTCTTGAAATAAAACTTTCTTGATTTTTACGTTAGCTTTCACGCATATTATTTCACTTAAAAAAGTTCTTTTCTTTTTTTTTTTACATCATTTTATTTGCGTATACACGAATATCTTGCAAAAAGAAGCATGTACTCAGAATTAATAAATTATAATTATGAAAATGTTTCATTTTATTGTTAAGGCTTCGACGCATTCTTTCGTCGTTAGTGTCGAATATAACTGTCTTTCATAAGATTTCAACGAATTCTTGCTTGTACACCATATTTTAAAATCATTAACTACAAGTTAAGAAAACAATTGTGTTTATACTTTTTATTGTTAAGAACAATAATTATCGACCGATATTGTAAATTTATTTTATAAATACTGTACAAATGGATAAAATAAATTTATCGAATCTAATATAAGAAAAAGAAATCATTAGATAGATTAGACACGTATTTAAAGTATATGAATATTTTATAAATAATCAATTGACTTTATATCAAAAATATTAAATTAGCCTAATTTTTGTTCAAGTATTAAAATTTTTTTTATGGTTTAAAATTATAAAAATCTATTATAAATATAAATCAATAAAATTTATATTTATCTACCAAACAAAATTTTATTTTTATATCTTTTTTAATTTTTTTTTTAAAAAATTATTTTTCCAACTTAGTTAAATTTTTTTATTATATTGAATTTTTTAAAATAGTTAATTAAAATCATATATAAATTAATTTAATAAACTTATAGTTAATAAAAAGATCAATATATATATAACTTTTTAAATATATAAATATAAATTTAGTAATAATTAATAATAATACTTTTTTATAACATAATATATTTTATAACAAATTGTTTTCAAAAAAATTTTCTCTTTTTTTAAGAAACTTTGTATAATAAAATATGTTTTTTAAAAAAGGAAATACAAATCAAAAAACAAATTTTGAAAAACTTTAATAATAGCTTTTAAGATTTTAGTAATAGTTTATTTAAAGAGATCTAGTATTTTTAAAGATATTAATTAATTATTTGAAAAAAATAAATAAATAATTAATTAATTTTTTATATCAAATTTATTTTTTATCTCCAATTTATATACAATATAATTTAATGAATTATTTCAAAAAGACAATATTTTATTTTTTACTTTAGTTTTTATAATGTTTAATTAATTTTTTTTTTTTATAAATAAATATAATCATTTTATTGGTTGCAAAAAATGTAAATATTTTTATATATAAAAAAAATAATAACATCTCTTATATAATATTAAAAATTAATAAATTTAATACTAGTTTGCCTATATAATTCAATTAAGCAATAAGAAAAAATAAATATTAAAATCCAAATATAATAAAGATAATATTAAATAACTATAATTATTTACTCAAAGTTATTAATAAAAAAGTAATTAAGTTTAAATATTAGACTTTTATAACATAATATAATATTAAAATTGTTATTTATAAACTTATCTGTAACAAAAGTTAAAAAATTTATAATTATTTTGTTGATTTTATATTTTTATCTGATGATTATTTAAAACTTGATTAGAAAATTTTTTCATAATTAGTAAAATTTTTAATTTTATATTATTTTTGTAAAAATAAAAATATTAACAATATTATATCTTAGTTTTTATATTATACTATAAAAAAGAATAAGAATTTCAAATATTGCTTTTGTCTAATTATCAATATTAATTATAACAAATATTTTATCAGTAAATTTATAAAATAGTTTAATTATTTATTAAATATAATTAATTAATAAATTGTCTTGACTTGAATAAAGTATAGTATTTATAATATTGATAATTTGAATTACTTGTTTTTTTGTTTTAATATACTTAAATATATGTTTTATATTTTTAATTTCAAGTTTATATCTTGGACAAAAAGGATTTAAATAATATTTAAAACATATTTAATTAAAAAAGATATAAGTTAAATAATATCCAATAAAAGTTGAATTCTGAAAAATATTAGGTTGCTATAGAAATTGTTTTTATAATTTTGAAATGTTTAATAAACTTAATTAAAACTTTTAAGTTATATATATTAAGAATTTTTCTAAAGATTTTTGTTAATAATATATTTTATATGTTATATTAATCTTAGTAAGTTTATAAATTTTTTTTAACCATATAATACTATTATTTAGATTGTTATTATTTATTCTAAAATTTTTAAAAAAATAAAATAAAAGATATTTCAATATATAATATTATTGATTTTAAGTTTTAATTTAAAATTGGTTAACTAAAAAATAATTAACTTTTATAATAATAAATTTTTATTAATGTTTTTAAATAAAATTCCTCTTTTTTTAATTTGGTTTCTATATTATTTTATTATTAACAAAGTTGGAAAAAACTTAAATTTAATAAAACTATTAAAACCTTTTGTATTAATAATAATAAATAAGATAGGTTTTTAAAAATTGTAAAGATAAATCATATTGAAGATAAATTAAATAAAAGTTTAACTAAAAAAAAATTCTTTCCCATAAATCACCAAATTCTTAAAATTACCTTTTTTGATAATTTTAAGAACACTTGTCAAAAATCATCTTTACCTTCAAAAAAACATAAAAGAACCACAAGTAATAGAGAACTATAACCAAAACACAGCTACTTAGAAAGGTGAATCTACTCTGTGAATCACATTACTAACAATTTTTGTTAGATACCTTTTCTCTTCTCAATAGACAAAATTATACTAGAGAAAAGAAAACACAAGCATTACAATTTACAGTAAGCTCAAAGAAAAGTCAGCATCAACCCTCCTAGCTTCTAGCCAGTCGTGTACAAGATTCTATACCTCCCTAAACACCAGAAGGATTTTTGTTGGCCAGATTTCACCTGATAAATCAGGCAACCTCGACACCAAACAAAAAACAAGAGAACATCAGACTTTCTTTAGGGAATCCAAATCAAAGAATCCAAATAAACAAACAACAATACATCAGTCAATATCAATAATCTATAGTTACACAACAAATTTTTAATTGAGGGGGAAAACCAGAATTAGCTTACCCCTAACAAATGATTGACACACTAGAAAACACATAAAACAAATCAAACAATCCAAGTAAATAAGATCTACACGTCAACCAAAACCAAAATAAGTTTAAGTAAACAATACCAACATGTCAACAACACAAATGCAACAGCAAAACAAACACGTCCTATAGCTGACACGTCAACCAAAACCAAAAAAGTTTAAGTAAACAACATCAGCATGTCAATAACATAAACGCGATAGCAAAACAACCACGTCTTATCATTGACACATCTATATTGCAATCACAGTTTCATAAACAAGTGATAACAACAACAAACACATCACTACAAGAGCACATCAATAGTAAACATATCAATAATTTATTCTATTCAATTAATTATGACCAATCAAAATCCAAAACCAAGCCCAACTATTAGTAATGATTCCCACTTTTTACCACCCACAACATTTCATATAAACAACAATAACAACACTATTTTCCTAGACATTATTCTTGTAGACAGAACCCATTACCATATATCCATAATATATTAAAATAAAAACAAAGAAGTCATTTTTACAAAACCTTCCAGAATGATAGCAATACTCTTATTCAACAACTACCTCACTAAGTGGCTCATTCCTATCACCAATATCTCTAGACCTGATTCAACAAATTTAAGCATGTTCCAAATCGAGTTTGCAATCTCCGAAGATCAAAAAAACCTTCTGGCACAAGTTTCAGTTCTTACAGAAAAGTATACATGTTGCTGAAATTCATAGATTCTTGATGCAATTGACATAATTATTTGACGCAATTAATTGAGTCACTATTAAAACATATAAATAATTGAGTCATAACACAATTATTTTTAAGGAT